GTTTACTCCCACCGCCATCAGTTGCTAAGAGCCAAGTGTTTTTATTAGCCTTTTGCCCGGCGGACAAGTCGCAAAGCGCTTGGCCTGTGACCTCTGCCCCGAACTCAAGTCGTTCTGGGTGCCCGGCGTCCCCGGCCTGGTGCACGCGGGGTTCGGGGTGAACGCCGCCCCGGCGGGGCCCTGGCTCTGCGTGCGATTTTCCTGTGCGGGGCCCCAAGGAATCCGCTATCTTAACTGGGTCGCTGTCTCTCTCGGACCCTTGAGTTGCAGTCCGCCCAGTTCAGCAAATGCATCCTTGGGGGAGCGAGCAGGTTAAAAACTCAGATGTCAAGTGCCCGGAACTCCCAAGGTTTAGGAATCGGCATGGGTGGGTTATTTTGCCTTTTCTGCTTGAAAGTATTTAAAACTGCGGAAGCTTGCCAGAGATTTATTTAGCAAATCCCTCCGCGTGAACTTGAGCACCCTCAGAACACTGGGTTCTAAACATGATAGGGGCTGGCACGCTCGCGGAGAGCGCTCTCGTTACTCACAGAACTTCAGCCGCATTTAGAACTAATGGGAAGCGCATGCTTCTCTCTGTCTTCGCTGTGAATGCAAAGTTGAAGAAGTCACATTATTTTTGCAAAGGCAATCACAACTGGATTTTGGAAATTCTTTTATAGACACTCCCCACCTCCCGCGAGCCCTTCTATCCCAGGGATAGAACCTAGAGGGTCACATTTAAAGATGAGGGTCTGTCTCTTCTGTAGGAATGAGAAAACTCTTTCCATCTGTCATTGATACAAAAACTTAGATACAAACGAACAACAAAACAAGAAGCCATTTGGCCTGTTGCAAATCCCAAAGCATGGTAGAAACGCAAGGAATTAAACTGATTCCCAACAGACAGGTGACTTGTCGGACTGGAGACCCTGGTATCCAAAACATTATCTCTTCTCCACAAAGCCGGTCTATAATTTGCCTTAACACACACGGAAGACCTGAACAGAATTTGGGTCGCCACTACCGAAAAGGTAGAAGTTGGAGAAACCAGAAGAGGCACTAAGAGGTCTGGAGACAGGACAGCCCGGAAAACCAAGGGTTGTGTTTCACAAAGTGGAGCTTGGTCAAAAGACTTCCGTGTGAGGCTTTCTGTGCTTGGGCGAATTCTTTTAATTTAAATTTGTCTTAGTGGACTCATGTAATCATACATACCAACAGGGTACCGGGTGATGTTTTGAAGCTCACACACACCGTGTAATATTTAAACCAGACTAAACATACCTCCTCACACGTTTGTTATATTTTCCTGGTGAAAACACTGGAAGTCGTTTATTTTGGTTTTTTGAAATGTATAGTATGTTACTGCCATCTATAACTAACTTCAGTGCAATGACATGTAGGGACTTCCTGCTCTGGCCATACTATTAACACCCATTGTCCTTCCCTTCCACCCCCGAACCATCCCACTTCTAACCCTGGTCCCTATTCCTAGTCCCTATTCAAGTAAATCAATGCTGGATTTAGAGTTGGATTTGGCTTTCCTCCCCTAAAATCCAAGCATGATGTTTAACTAAGTTTTAGAGTTTCTGTATTATATCAAGAAGCCAAGTGATGTAATACAGAATAAATGAAGAATTTGAGGAATATCTTTTGTCTTTTCTTGGCTCTTTCTTTCAAGGCCTACACCCTCTCATAATTGTCATTTTCCTATGGTTGCCTTTCCCAGTACACATACATATACAAACAAACATTTCTCTGCTAATACTTATGTTTGAGTCTCATACAGCCAATGAAGACCCGCCTGACGACAATCCTTGGATGCTCCAGAAAAGGAATTGGGCCATACCTCTTCGACTGCACTGGATCCAACTTACTCCATTTCGACTGACACTCGGACCAGAGCCTCAAGTACTGACTTCAGTCAAGTTGAGGATTTCAACCTAGATCTTCAATCAAGCAAATCCCATCTAACATGGACTGGAGATAACCCATTAGAGACTCTCACTATACTAACATTGTTTTCCACAGGACCCCTCAAGGCTAGCATTGTCCCATTTCAGCGGGAAGTAACTTAGAAGATGCTACGCCCCCGCGCCCCATTATTGTTTATTAGGGTAGTGTAAGCCTAGTTAGGAATAACTTTCTTATTGTTTAGAGTTGGGATTGGAAGGAGGTGTTCAAGTTAGACACCCTTTCCACATGACTTTAGGGCTTAGCTGGAATAGACATAGGATGTGTCATAGCAGATTATTGTGTCTTCTTGTATTTCACCTTTATGATTGTTAATTTTGGATGTTTTACACTATTAAGTTTTAATCCTCTTTTAGACTAAAAGGGGAATTGTAGGGAGACACTGTAACCCCACCTCCTAGAAGCCACTACAGGTGTGCCTGGCCACGCCCACGAGGGCGTGGTCAGGGAGGTCGAAGATGACATGGGGGCAATTCTTAAGGGACTGCGCACACGTAGAGCTCCCTTCTTTCTCTGGCCTTGCTAGCTTGCTGCCTCTGGGCATGCTCTGGCTTGCGTTTGGCTGGTGTTTATCTGAATAAAGAAATCTTAGCATTACGGACTATGCTATATCTTAAGCACGTTATAGTGGACCCTTCCTTTGTTCTCGTTTCTTGGCTGTTGCGAACAGCCCTGAAGTAAACACAGCAGCACAGATGTGTCCTTAATGTGCTGATTACATTTGCTTCTATCACGTGGTGTAATAGTTCAGGATTTAAATGTCCAACAAAGGTCCATGTTGACTAAGGGCTTGGTCCCTAACTTAGCATAGTAGGGATGTGATAGGGATGCTAAGGAGGTGAGACCTTGGCTAGGTTTGGTGATGCACATCTTTAATCCCAGCACTTGGGAGGCAGAGGCTGGCGAATCTCTGTAAATTCAGGGCTAGCCTGTGCTACATAGTAAGACACTCTCTCAAGAAAAGAAAAAAGAAATGAGGCAGTTAGCCATCAAAGGCATGCCTTCAGATGAGGATATTGGGGTTCCAACCCCTTTCATCATTTTCTCCATCATATGCACCTCACGACAGGCCCAAAACCTTGGGGGCGACTAGTCATGGGAGATAGCTCCAAAAGTGTGAGCCAAAACACACTTTTCCTCCCGTGAATTGATAATCCCAGGTACTTTGTTACAGTTCCAGAAAGCTGACTAACATGGGGATTGCTGGATCATATAGTAATTCTATTTTTATTTCTTTTGGTTTTTCGAGACAGGGTTACTCTGTGGCTTGGAGGTTGTCCTGGAACTCAACTCTGTAGACCAGGTTGGCCTGGAGCTCACAGAGATTGGCCTGCCTCTGCCTCTCAAATGCTGGGATTAAAGGCGTGCACCACCAATGCCCGGCCCATTTTTATTTCTATTTGCTTGTAGATTGGTGACTTGTAGTCTTCTCTAAAGTTGGATCAGCTTCCAACATTTTATTCTTTGTGCTTTCTATGTTTTGAAGCAGCTCCCAAAGTTCATTGGATGCTAAGTGTTTTGTTGGCACCATTTCTTCTGAACCATCTTTGTTCCTTTTATTCAGAGGCCTTTCTCTTTTCATGAAAATAAAATAGGCTTGCCACCGAGGACTGTGTCTGGCTGTACACCAGGAGTGGGGACCTTGTACACAACTGTTTCTCCACGACTCTACTCACGGTGGATTGGTATCTCACATGCGCAATTATCAAGAGTTTGCCTCTTGGCTGAACTTTATTTGTGTTATTTCTTTCTTCCTTTCTTTCACTTAACCACTAGTCAAATGGCGGATGTGTGCAGCATGGGAAGAAACTTCAGCTGTCTGTGTGTGAGCTGAGTAACATACATGGTGTGGTGGTTTGATTGAGCCGTGTCCCCTGCAGACTCAGGTGTCTGAACGTTTGGTCCCCAGCTGCTGGTATTATTTGGTGAGGTTGTAGAACCTTTAGGATGTTGGAGGAAGTGGGTCACTGGGGGCGGGGCTTTGCAGGAGGAAGTGGGTCACTGGGGGCGGGCTTTGAGAATTTATAGCCTCGCTGCACTTCCTGATTGATATCCCTCTGTGATCTCTCCGCTTCCTGCTCTGGCTTCCTGCAGCCATGCCTACCCCACCATGTGGATTCTCTGTGGATAAACTCTTCCGTAGAGACACAACAGTGGAACAACTGGTGTCATAATAGCGATGCTGACAGCCTTAGAGTAGCGCTTCTCTCTCCCCTTCCTATCCTGCATCTAGGCAAAGCGACTAGATATGCTCCCTTCCTGGGGTGCTGGTGAGAGAGTCAAAGCATGCAAACTTGCAGAGCCCTCCCTCTACCCACCCTGTGAGCATTCAAGCTTCCCTTCTTCCTGGGTGCTTAGGCCATTTTTCATGGCAGCTTGAGAGGGCTGCCCCGTTCTCTCCAGAAAGGTTCTGTAGGGGACAGTAAGCCATGCCTGCTAGAAGCTGGCTACAGGTGTGCCTGACCTTGCCTGTTAGGGCATGGTCAAGGTGAGGTCAGGATGATGCGGGATTGATTTTTAAGGGGCTTCAAGGCACATGGGAGCCCTTCGCTCTGGCCCGTCTGCCTTGCTG